ATTCGAAATAGGAAGAACAGAAAAGAAAACAAAATTAAGCAGTAAAAAATTAAGTAGTAAGGAGTCAGTAAAAATTAGTGAAACAGTAATATTAGATAATAATATTAAGTAGTAAGTAATTAGTAAAAGTAGTAAAACTATTTTAATAAAATTATTATAATGGTAAGAAATAAATGTTTCGGTCCATTAAGTCGTATACATTTCTTACCATTACCACAATTGGATCTCGTCAGTTCGACGATTGTAGTAACTGAGCCTTGTGCAAAGCTTTTATCAAGTAGGAAGTCTCGATGCATGTTTTTCACAGGTCCTCATCTCTAATCCACAAAATTCCTAGTACCCTTTACTTTGGCAATCCTCAATGCTCTAGTGTTTTCAGAACTTTCTGCAAGAATGCAGGTGTTTGAATGTGACATCTAGTCCCATTATATCGGGCATATTGTTTTCTCGATAAATAACGCGGCCAAGGAACAAACCTTATGAGAAGTCTGGCAACTTTGAAATGTCCGTGATAGCATGCTTCGTGCAGCGGCGTCAGTCCCGCATAATCACGTGCATCCACAAGCGCTCCGTCCTGGATCAATTTCTTGCATTGCCGATGCTCACCTTTTCGCGCTGCCACGTGTAGTGGTGTTTCGCCACGCTCGTTTTTCTTGTGCACCTATAAAAGGTGGATGCAAAACTGTGGCATCATAAGGAAGAAGCATGGGCAATTAGCCGAGAACTATGCAGTACATCTAGCACTTCCCAATAAACTTAGAAAAGAGCAAAAAGCCATCAAAGACATCGATAGGACAGCGACTGTGGAAACAGTGTAGCCGCATTTACCGCGCAAGAGTACATTACAATGAAACAACAGCTGCTCGAACTGCACAAGAAATAATACCTTTGGGATTCGCCTCTTAGGAACGCCTGGTGATACACTGCTTGTCCGTGTAGACTGCGCTGAGGTCGACGAAGCGTCAGCGGTGGTCTGAGCCACTGGCTGCTCCATCTGAAAACCCACAAACTTCAGTTGCATTTTCATTGCCTTGAATTGCTGGACACTTCGTAGGATGACCAGCGGTCATGAGAGGTGGTGTGACGTGATGACATTAAGCAATCGGCCAACAAGTAAGAATTTCATGCTCGATAACACAGTGTCCAGAAAATAACAGACTCAATTCCAGCCTTTATGACAGAGAAGTGGACAAGAAGGATATTATATCTGTATGTATGTGTTCAAGTACCTTGAATAGCAGTACTACTGGTTATAAAGTAGAATTCTGGGAGCTGCCGTCTTCGAATATAAAACAAACGAAGTCAAAAAGCCTTCTTTTTGAAAGTTGCTTTAAAAACAAATAAAGAAACAAAGGAAAGCTCACAAAATGCTAAAAACAGAGGGCTCAAGCTTAATTTTCACACCCTGCCGAGTTTCGAGATAAAGAACTAGGTGGCATTTTAACTCAGCAGCGCGTGAAACTATAAGCTCAAAATTTCCTGCTGCAACAAATCGTACCAGTAGCAGGTGAATCAAGCCATTTCCAAATCAAAGTGTACTTCCCCATGACGGGTCTAACGTCGAGAAATCTGACGCTATAAATTTAGCACCAACGTAAAAGTATGCATCTGAGATTTCGCAGTTGCAATAAACGAGGGTAAACCCAGTGTGTGCAGAACTCGATCTCAAGCTTAAATCAGCATTACCGTCCGGGTCAGGGCGCAATACGAATTTTTGCAAGAATTAAATGGAGCAAAATCATTACAATGATAGTAAAGGCGTCTAGTACAAGCACCGGAAATGCCCTTTCACTCCGTGCTCTCAGCAAATGATAACAAAAAATACATGTTCTTCGCAGTGTCTCTTTTTCATGCGCTCCGTTGTTTATTTAAGAAAAAAAAAGCTTGGATGTTGTACATTCTTATTATTTGCACATAGTAAAAGCGACTGCTATGCATGTCGCTCGATTTACATCCCTCCAACATTCTTCGTAATCAACTGTTTTCTTTTTCTGCACTTCTTTGCTAATAAATTACACTTACACATAATACCAAATAGGCAGAGGAAGGCTATAGGATCCGCTTGTACGACTATATGGAATTACGTGGATAAGAGAAGCTCTAAGTATAAGAAGGATGACGCTACCAGCTACACCAATGGTGAGAAGAAACAAAAGGGCTGAAAAAACAGCTATTAAAAGTAAATACTTAAGCACAGCTAATTATCACTTCTAAAACGCTACGTAACGAAATCCGCAGACTAAACGATTGATCGTGTACTCAGGCGTACAAGTGCTTTTCGCTACTCAAAATGTAAGCTTTCGAAGGCTGTAATTGCCAAGTTAAACAGTGACCATACCCAGTGCTCCATAAAAATTAACGTTTCTGTGCTTGTTAGAAGCTCAACAAATGAATGCACTTTTGGCAAAGAAGTCAAAGTATGAGAGAAAGACAAGTGTTTTCAAATTCGGGAAAAAAAGCACTGAAGTCAAGCCTGAATGATGAAGCGCGAAGAGTCTTTTATGCATTTTTTACATCCATGCAATGAAAAAACGT